CTCTAGATCCTGTAAAACAGAATTACCAGGAAGAAAAGTCCTTGAATAGTTCAAATTCTTAGTCAAACTACTCAGAAAAAGAAGATTAGTGTGAAGTCTAGGAACTTGTAAAACAAAAGACAAGGTAATGGCATTAGTCACCCTAACTAGCCCTTACCCAACAATGGGAACATGGGAACCATCTACTATAGAGACTCTATCCATACTAGAACAAACTAGTATGAAGTAAATAGGATGGACATATTGGTCATATGCTCAGATGCTCCTGAATCTATAATCTAGGGAGGTCCCTCCTTACCTGAGATTGAAGCATAATTTGCAGTGGCATATGAACTACTTATATGATCAAAGGAAGTGGTGTGACTAGCCCTTGAACTTCCTTTGTTTTGCTGTCCTCCTGAAGAGGAACTACAACTAATTGTATCCTTCTAACTTATAAGTTGCCCATACTTCTCCGATTCTACCCTAATAGCTCTGTTGCTGCAATAGACTCCAAGTTAGTTGGAGTAAGAGGTTTTGATGAATCTCTAGTGATTTCCATGTTAGCATTTCTTTTCTTGTTTCTAACTTGAGCTATATAAAATGTTGATGGAGTTTCCAACATGTATGTTTGGTATGCTTAGGCTTCTTGCAATAGTTATAGACTAGGTCTTTCTTATTTTTTCACTTAATCTCATTACTCCCCTTGTCTCCATTGGGCTTAGGTTTGATGGTGCTAACCATAACTGATTGGTCAATCCTAAACTGTCTCATCATAACATTCCTTCTCTTATCTTCAGACACAAAAGCATATGCTTGAGAAAGAGTTACACTTTCTTTAGAAAGGATGTGTTCTCTAGCAATATCAAATTCAGGGTTTAGTCCAACGAAGAATTCAAAAACCCTATTCATCTCTACCAACTTTTGATAAGTTGCTACATCGTTAGTACTCTCCCAAACAACAGTCTTTAAGTGGTCCATCTCTTGTCAAAGAGTTTTCAAGATAGAGAAATACATAGCAAGAGTCTATCTCTTTGCTTTGTATTAATCTCTTGGTTCCTTAATTGATAGGCTTTGGCTACATTTTATTTCTAGGAATAAATTTTAGTTACTCCATCCCATTGTATCATCAGCCAACAAAAAATTTTTGCCAATATGAGGTACCATAGAATTACACAGCCAATACATCACCATGTAATTCTCCTGCACCCACTAGAAAGAATTTGTACCAAGTTTCTTCTCCTCTCCAGTAATATACCCTAGTTTTCCACATGCACTAATAGCCATTTTGGATGATTGTGCCCTTTCTAGATAGTTTGTACCATCCAATTTAACTCTAATAATAATAGTAAGGGCAAAATTCTTATAGTACTGTTATGGTTTAGGAAATTGACTAACTCTACCCTTATTGTTTTACATATTGTCTTAAAGTACCCCTAAGTTTTTTTGACAATTGTCATCGTCGTTAAATATTGATGGAAAAAAGTAAAATGTCAAATTTACCCTCCATTATTTCTCAAATGTTCAAAATAAAACCCAACTGATGGAAAAGTAATTGGTGCTATTTCTGCCACTAGAAAATTCTTTTCTTTTCTTTTTCTCTGTAATGCTTATTCGATGGCTGCTAATCACACCATCCTCAAACTCAACTATCCTCATCCAAGCTCTCCACTTCCCAAACACTTCGCACCTCTCCACCCGTTTCTAGCCTTCAAACGCCACCATGCAGAATTCCCAGAGTTGCACATGACTTGTCATCGTAATTCAGAATTCAGAACCGAACCGTTTAAAAGTATATGCGCAAAGTCAAAGAAAACCCTTTCTTTCTGCTGCTAAAAATAATTAAATCTGGAATTGGAAACCATAGCTTGAAACGTTAGAAAGATGACAGAGATCTCAATGATTCGGGTCCAAGAAGAACCCAAACAAGGTTACTCGAGGTTAATGGAATGGAACTGTGTTATTGCCTTCATTATCCACCAAAAAGTGCGATGGGAAAAGCACTTCATTATCCACCACTCCACTTTACTCAATACCCACCCTCTTTGTCTCTCACTCTCACCTATGCTAGCTCTCTCTCTCTCTCTCTCTGGTTTGCAGACAATAGTGACTGGTGAGGGGCTTATATCCAAGCAAAAGAAAAGATGCCATCTCCGAACCCTTTTTCTCTTTTTAGCACTATTCTTCTTTGCGTACCTCTTGCATTCATCTTCACAGTTACCGGCCCCACCAACAGTAGCAGCACTGGTGATTCCAGTGCCACTACCACCACCACCAACGGCAATTACATTCGCAAAATCAGGCAAGAAATATCGTTCCAGCCACAAACAACATTGAGCAAAACAAGAATAGTGGAATCAAAAGGAAAATTGTTCGCAGACCGCAACCACCATCAACAGTTATTCCGAAAGAAGATGAATCTCTGTTCCACATCATTGGTTGAGTAAACTGAAACCCATCACCTACTGGTGCAACAAAGAAATTGGCGTTTATTTTCCTAACTACCTCGGATCTCCCATTTGCCCCACAATGGGAGCGCTTCTTCCTTCTAAATCAAACCCAACAAAAAAACAATAGAACAAAGCCCCCACTTCAATGAGGAAAAGCACTTCATTGCCTTCATTATCTTGGTGAGTACTTTAGGGCAATGAATAGACTCAGTGGGTTTTTAAATTTTAATTAGGGTTTTAGAATATTAATACTAGACTCAAAAGTCACCTGTGGCTCTCTGGATCTCGGCCAGAGGCCAGAGTAGCGATTCTGTTTTTTTCAAGGAGAGGAGCTTCTCCCAACCACCCAACCCTTTCCAGAAAATAAAAAAATAGCAGAAATTCTTTTCTGAGAAAGAGATAATTCAGGAAAGGTTTCCAAAATAGAATACCCAGAAATCTAGAAATCAAACCAACCCTCTCTCTTTGTTCTTCTGTGTTTCAAGTTGACAGCGCAAGGAAACACAGAATCCTTCTGGAGGCCGTTCAAGTTCTCATGGATCTCGTGCAGGACTGCAGAGCAGATACCATGTAGGCTGTTAATCTCTGCTCTAGATTGCCTCACACGTTCGAGATCTGATTCAGGTGTGCCAGAGTTGCCATAGCGGCTTCTGTCCTCCCTTCGGCAATAGTGGCAGCGGTGTCAAGTAACGATTGCTTCAAATTTTTAAAAGGTGTTTTGGGATTTTTTTTTAAAATATATCAGTCACGTGATGCCACATATGAACAGAATGTGACAGAAAGTTAATGGCAAGGGAGGTTTTAGACAATTGTCAGAAAGCTTAAGGGTACTTCAAGACAATATGTAAACAGTAAGGGTAGAGTTAGTCAATTTCCTAAACCATAGGGGTAGAAATTTGCCCTAATAATAATCCCAAATCCAAATAGATCACTGCCTTTTCCTACACCTAGGCCTAGGTCACTGGTTGATTTCTGTTCAGCACTACAACCCTCCATATCAAATCAATCAACTTAAGTCAACAAGAAAATCAAATAAAATCACTTCTAGATCAGATCAATCTCACCAAAATAAGTGGGAAGCTCTTTGAGAAGAAGAAAACCCTACCTGGAGAGAATTCTCCCTTCCTGGGAACCAAGAGAAGAAGGAGAACGGTGTGTTGATCTTTCCAGGAAGCCCAGAGCTTGTTAGGAACTGAGGCCCCGTTTTCCATGACAGAAATTCTATTTCTGGTTCCTGAGGAATAACTGAGGCGTTTGACACTTTGTTCTTCGGGAACAAATTCTGTTCTATAGGAATAGAAACAATGTTTGGATAACACCATTGAATCTTTAGACTAGTGATTCAAATCTATGCACAACAAAATGTTGAGTTCAGTGTAGTCGAAACAAGCCTGACAAATTGTAATACACCAGATATAATCCTTTTCAGAAGGCCTTGGTCCTTTATTTAGAACAAGACTGTCAATCAAGAAGCTGTCATTCTAAATTACACGTTTAGATAGACCCCAAGATAATCTAATTATTAAAATTCACTGGCAAGGGAAGGGATGGAGAACATAAACATGTTATCTTCGGTTAAACAGAGATACAACTGAAGGCATTCCTTTTAGTTCAACCAAGTAAGCCCCATGTTATCTTCAGTTTTATTTTTGAACAAGTACTTTTTGGTGCCAATTTAAGATTCTTATTATAAGAATATTTTGCCAATTCAGGATTCTAATTATAAGAGTTTTTTGTCAATTTGGGATTCTTAGCATATTAATTATTATCAGTTTAGATTGATAAAAAATTGTTCAGTTTATTCGTATTTCTAACATTACATGGAGACACCAATGCTGTGTTCTGAGCTTTGATCCAACAAAACTAACATTGCATTTCCAGTTAAAAGCTAAAGCAAACTCAAGCCAACAATAAATGAAAGAGGAAGAGTGAGAGTTCTGAGTTATGAGTTTTGATCCGACCTCAACTTGACACTTCAGACACTATATGTGGTTAACAATCTCGTCCAGCACCAGCACTGTACCAAAAAATTGCAAAATTTTGGAAGAAATCGTGAAAAAAAAAGAGAGTAGAATAGATATTTCAAAGAGAAAATAATGGCCAGTGAATGATCATTAACAGAAATTTGGAAGGGCAAAACATTAAGAAGGAGAGGATGACAGATACTTGGAGAATGAAATCATGACTGGTGAATGATGTTAACAGAGATTTGGAAGAGGAAGTCATGAAAAAGAAATAGAAGAAAATCATGGAAAAAAATAGAAGCAAAAGGAGAGGAGCCTGTGGAAATGATCCTTAACAGTAAAACCACTGATCCTGGTTATAATGAGCTCTCCCCTTCTAGTCGATGTCGCGGTGAGTAGAAGAAGAAGATGTTAGGGCTATTTTGCCCCGTCTCTATTTTATGTTGTATTATATCATTGCAGTCGAAATTACTTATTTAACTATACTCATTTCTCATTGCATTGTAGAAGAATGTTCTGATGAAATCAACTTTTACTTTTAATGCTTATACAGTGAAGTTCTTGAAAGTTATATTTAAGTAGTCCTTGGTTTCATTATCCATTGCAGGTGAACAATACTGATGCAGAAGGCAGACTTACTCTTGCAGATGCCTTGGTATATGCTTGCAACCAAGGTGTAGAGAAGGTATGGTATTCCAATACAAAAAGTATTGATATCAGCTGAATTTATGCAATGATAAAAATTATAATTGTTCTTTAAGAGAACATATGGCCATAGGGCAAAATGGTGGAGCAAGATTTGTATAGCAGGTAAGCTAAGGCCCTTTGGCTTTGATTTTTCCATTTGGATTAAAGCATTTCTTGCACATATCTCTGATGTCTTTAATACATTTACAGCATGCATATATCTTGTATGTGTGTGAATGTATCCAATGCATTGCTGTGGCTGTAGGTATATAGCATGTTTGTCTGATTTCATTTATTTGAGAAATTAGAAATAACATGACATGTTTTTCAAGAATTAGTGGTTGAAAGTTCATTTACAATTTGATTAACTTTTACAAAGAATCATGTAAAAATACCGAGTACAGACTACAGAGCTGTAAGTTGGGTTGCATGACTTGAACAGTTTCAACTACATTGGGCTTGGGTTAGGTTTTGGTCCTATTGAAAATTTTATAAATTCCCAACCCAACCCAAGTTGCATCCCTCACTGAGTACCCTCAGTGTTCCTCTGTTTACAATTTAACAAGCGAAGTGTATAAAGATCTCTTTTTAACATATAGTTATGTTATCTATTTTTTTTTACATATTTTCAACAAGACACAAGATAAAAAGAAAAATATATATTTTTTATTTCCTGAAAACTTCTATTCTTTTTATTCTTAATTAAATTCAATCTCTTTTTTGAAAGAAAAATCATTACAACAGCAGCCAAAAGGGAAAAAAAAGAAATGAAGATTATACACAAGGATGAGGATATGTTACTTGAGTACCTTCTAGAGCTGGATGAGGTGCATCACACTTGTGGTGACTGGTGATTTTGTTAATTGTTGGAGATTCATTTTCTGTTTTTTTTTTCTCAATTCTTCATGGGAATCAGTAACATTCATTAAAAAAACAAAACATTGTTTTTTTCTTGTTGTTTTAGCAATTGTTGTTCTTATTATTTCTATTTTTGCTCCATTTGGTGGCACCTTAGTCATGTAGATATGAAGGGGATTAGTCCTGTTAGAGCTAGCCAAATAAGGGTAGATTAGTCATTTTATTTCTATTAAGTTATGTGCTTATGTGGCAGTTTTAATAGAGACTTTCTATCCCATACTTAAGTGGGGGCAGTTTAGTCTTTATACAACTAATTAGAGGCTACTCTAAAATATGGTCGACTGATAGGGTTTACCCATCAGATTCGACTGTTCTTCTTCCTTCTTCTTCTTCTTCTTCCTCCCTTCTCTCTACTGGTTCGAACTCCTGAGCACAGATGTTAAACATGGTATCAGAGCCACAAACAAAGGAGAAGAAGGTTGCGACTTCAAGGTTTCCATCCTGTGACTTCAAGTTCTTTCTCTCTCTTCTTTTTTACTTCTTCTCTAGGCTGCGAATCTGAGGTACACAATCTGAAAGCTGCTGCATCTGTTATTAATTTTTTTTAGGACTGCTGCATCTGTTATTAATTTTTTTTAGGACTGCTGCAATCCCTATTACAAGTATTAGAAAGGTGCTGCAGCCCTAGGATATCAGCCTAATACTGCTGTCACCATGTGTGACAGCCCTAGTCGTGTGGTGGTGCTTGTGGTGTTTACCCTCTACTGAACCATTTCAAGAGGGTTTGTGCGTGGTTGCTCGAGTGGTTACATTGCTGTTATGGTGACTACTA